ATTTCACCATCTTTGCTAAGTAATCATTTAGGATGATGTAACTTGTATTTTACACTTAAAAAATATTATTAAAATAGTTATTTATTAAAAATATTTTTAATTAAAAATTATTTAGTATTAAAAGAAATAAATGTAAAAATTGTTGTTATTTTAAAAAGTTAAAAAAGTGTTTAGTGAAAATTATTTTTAAGATTTTAAATATAATTTTTTTTAAAAAAATTAAAATCATTTTTTAAAAAATTATAAATTGTAATTTTTGTATTTAAACCATCAAAAATAAACTTTTTTTTTCTACTTTTGTTAAAAACATTTCTATTATATTTGTTTGGTTATAAAAATACTTTTAAAACACAAAATAAATATATTGTAACGATCCCAGAAATTAAAAAAGAAATACATATAATAATCTGAGTGCGGAAGCGAAATAAAAGATTAAGGTTAACATCTCTTACACAATAACTTAAAAGTATTAAACAATATCACAGAATAAGTTCTCTAAATGAAATACGAGAAATGAGAAAAATAAAGGAAACTAAAAACTATCTACCATCTACTCGCCGTCTTCTTGTGAATCGGGCTCGGGAACCAGGTCCTCCTGATTTGAAATTGTTAAATAAAGAATGAGCTACACTAGCATAATAAGGACATCACACTATATCACCGTCACAGAAGTAAATGCTGGTATAAAACCAAAAATGACCAATGGAGCACAAATTTTAAACAAATTCTTTTATCAATAATTAAATCATTTACCGTCCACTTACCGCAGTGAGATTTATAAAAACAACCTATGGAAACAATAACATTATAAATATTGTGAATTCATATATAATCTGTAACATAACACATATCATACTTTTATATTCAAATCATCAACCAACAATTGCCCATTTTTATCAGCCTACTAGTATCCATGGGGATCCATAGGGGTCCCCACTACACGTGAACCATTCTCCTTAACAAATTTAATTCCAGGGCCGTCCCCATACCCCCTCCGGTATGAGCGCCAAAACAATAAACCTCAATACCCCGTCCGGTATGAGGGTGAAGCGGGCCGTCCCTATACCCCGTCCGGTATGGGCGCCAAATGACCAAGTCTTCATACCCCATCCGGTATGAAACAACGCTCACGGTGGGGTTCCTTATGAACCCGGTCCGTCCACCATCTCCTAGGATATCTAGTGAGGCTGTCATCTTATCCATTTATCAAATCTCATTCCATTCCTTATTTGTCCTTAGTCTTCGTTACCAACTCAAACATGAATACATGCACAAGTAATGTGCATCCAACAAAGCAAACATATCTTAGATTTTCAAAATCAAACAGTAGTTAAGTAAGCAGTGATACATGCATTCGAAACCATAGAATAAATAAACCAGATACCATAATGCATTTAAACTGTAAAATAAATCAAATAGGAATTGACAGAAAAATATGTCCAGTTTGAGCTCTATTAGCAACCTAATTAATTATTCATATCTATTTAATTTGTACAAAATAAAGTATTATCATTTATTCAAACTTCAATTCCATGATAGGAAATAGGGTGAGGGGTCCTTACTTGATTTGAAGCCGAAAAGTAGATTTTCACTGCGCCTACGGGCAGTCCCTGGGTTCCCTGAATTTTTCTCCGAGAACTGAAATGCACTTACGGTACCTATACATGTCCCAAATAACCCAAAAATCAGACCCAGAGCCTACTCGGCCAATTTTGAAATTCCAGCACGGCGGCTCCACCGTGCTCTGGCGACGATGATCCGCCTCAGGTTGACTGTTTTCGGCCGTTTCTGACCGAATTCATCCAAACTTGCATCGATTCCTGTGAGAAAACACACTTTGGGCCCTCGATGGGCCGAACAAATATAGAAAACTGAAACTTACCGACGGTGGGGCTCTCCGGTGTGGCGACTCCTCCGGCTCACATTGCGGTTGGGTGTTTTGCTCTCGTCAACCTATAGAGGAGGAAATGGTGATCACAACGGTGAAAAAATCACATCGAATGGGAATCGGGAAAGGGCCTCATCGGAGGCAAAAACTGAGACACCCCGCGGCAATGCCGCTGAGCTTCAGCGACATTTTTCAGCCAATTGGCCGGTGCTTTCACTCCGATTTG